CTCTATCTCTCTCCCTTCCTCTCTGTAAAAAATCAATAAAATATATTTAAAAAAAAAAAAAAGGTTGCCTACAAACACAAACAACTTTTGTTTTCCTCCTCCATTATACTCACCTGGTAAAACCCCATTCTAGTTGGACCCAACAATTTACCTTCCTTAATAAAGGCTGCGGCTTTCACTTTAAAGTTGTGACCACAAGTCTCAAAAGGGCATTAGACTCTCCCTGGCACTCTTACTGAATTCCCCTAGTAAGTTCACTTTCCCACTTCCAGAGATAGTGTATTTCATGCCTTCTCTGTTCAAACTCCTACACTTCTTCTATCACTTCACCATATATAACTAATGCATTTTCATATTTGAGAAAATAAAAATCATCAGGGAGGAACATTGTCATTCAACTGGAAAACCATGAGCCAACTTGATTTGTACTGTGGGGCACAAAAAAATAACTTTTCTCCCACCTTCTAAATTCTTCTAGCTGGGCTAATAATCCAATTAACATGAGACAGAATAACAGAAGAAAAGATCCAAAATTTATTACTGCTGTATATTTTGGGATGCCATAAGATATATAGGACCCAAAGATGCATTAGGCAGTTGAGGTTTATGTGCTATTTTGGACAAAGGAGAAGGGGACAGGGGTCTGGGATTTCAAAGAAAAAGTAGGCAATTCATATAAAGATCAAACATGTAAAATTCTTGTTGGGCCACCCAGAAACAATGGGACACAAAGGAATTGCAACAAACAGGCATTACTAGATTTCTCCTTGTCTGCCACATTTGGTTTACTATTATTGTTATTATTTTTGTTAATCCTTATCTGAGGATATTTTTCCATGATTTTTAGAGATAGTGGAAGGGAGGGGGAGAGAGAGACGAGAGAGCGAGACATATTAATTGGTTGCTTCCTGCAAGCACCTAAACTGGGGCCAGGATAGAGCCTGCAATCGAGGTAGTGCCTTCGACCAGGGAATCTGTCCCCGGGCTTACACTCTATCCACTGAGCCAAACCAGCTAGGGTTTAGTTTATATTATGATGCTAAGGTCCTTTAAACAGGTTTTTCTATTTTAATTCCTTTAGACAGAAAGGGGGAAGAGCAAAGACTCATTCTGCGTCTTTCATTTCTTAATAACCAGCTTAAAATTAATATTCCAAAGGACACATTTTGAGGTGGCAATACTTAGGTTCCCCTCAATACCCATCTTCTTTTCCATCTTCCTGATATCATGAAAGATGTGTCTTTGCTCTTTTCAAAGGGCACCTCCCCTCCAGTTCTAGGGTCCATTGAATTTTAGAGAGAGTGGAAGGGAGTGGGAGAGACAGACATGCCTTTTCTAGGACTTTTCCGTGCATCATCAATGACTTCTACTGGATCATTATAATCTCAAAAATAAACAAAACTTTCCCTTTATCCTATTATTTCATTTATTCACTCCTCTTTACAACAAAACTAAAACAAGTCATTTACACTAGAAGTCTCCATTTCCACCCCAAATCTGTTTAACCTGTTCTTAAACTAGCCAAAGATACCAATGATTTACATATTGCCAATCCAACAAACACTTCTCTATGCTCATCTCTTTTTACCTGTTAGCAACATTCAATAAAGATGGCACTTTCTTTCATGAAACACTTTTCTTGCTGGCCTCTGTGAAACTATATTCTCATAACTTTCCTCCTGCATCAGAAATCTGTCTTCTTCTCTGACTCCTTCCTCTTAGACCTCTAAATTTTGGGATTTCTCAGGGCTCATTTATGGACCCTTTTCAAGACTTCAAATACCACCTAAATTTAATAATCTTCAAATGTATATTTCCATGATAACATAGATCTCTCCTTTGAACTCCCAACTCATATCCAACTATTTATTAGACATTTCCTCTTGGGAGTTTTAGTTGGCATGTCAATATATCCAAACTAGAGCTCTCTATTTTATTAACCTAATCTCTTCCTTTCCCTAATTTTCCCCAGCATAGTAAATAGCATCATCTCATTGTTAAAATAGCAAGGATTCAGCCTCTTCATAAACTCCAAACATTAGTACTACCTCCAAAGTATATCTCGATTCCATTTACTTCTCTCCATCTCTGTCACTGCAATCTAATATTTTTTACCTCCATCTCTTACCTAAATTACTGCAACTACTATTTAACTTGTCTCCTTGCTCTCTTTCTGGGTCCACTCTAATCTATTTTCCATATGACCTTTTAAGAAAAAAATAATTCATAAAAAATTAAAAATAACAATTCAGTTGTCCTTTTCCTTCCATATTTAAAGTGATTTCCATTTATCTTAGAATAAAGTCCAAACACCTTAGCAAGATCTATATGACCTGACTCAATCTGACCTCTCTCTGCTTTAGCATCTTTTCTCTTAAGTTCCCTAATCCTATCTACAGGGAGCCCTGTCTGGTTTTAGAATTTATCAAGTTATTTTGCATGCTTTTTGCCCTGGTCTACTTGAACTTGCTACTTATTCAGCCTTCTGCCATTATGGCATCTCTATTTTTCTATCTCACCTTGACTGTCACCTCAAAAAAGCCTTCCCTGCCAATTACCACAACATCTAAAGTAAGCCTCCTCTCTCAGTATGATAGCTCTCTTTGCAATTTGTATTTATCTTGTTTATTTATTCATTCACTTGTTTATTGTCTGACTAGGATTCTGTCTGTGTTCTTTAAGGTGATACGACTAACCCAGAGATGCTTAATAAATATGTGTTGAATGAATAAATGAATGAATGAAAACATAACAATGAAGAACAACCTTTAGTTCCATCTTCAGGACCTTGTCCCAAGGTCCTTCAAATTTCTGACACACTACCTTAGGTAAGTCATGATGTGTGAAGTGTTTAGTACTAAGTGCTCAGTAAATACTAGTAATTGATACAAAAAAATCAGAGACTTCTAAAGGCACTTGAGTGTTAGAGGCTATAAGACAAATGGAGCCCTCTGGCCTGGCTCATTGGTTGAATGTGACCTATGAACCAGGAGGTCACGGTTCGATTCCTGGTCAGGGCACATGCCTGGGTTGCTGGCTCAATCCCCAGTGTGGAGCGTGCAGGAGGCAGCCAATCAATGATTCTCTCTCATCATTGATATTTCGACCTCTCGCTCCCTTTCCTTTCCTGTCTGAAATCAACAAAAATATATTGAAAAATAACAAAGACAAATGGAGATGAGTAATAAAAGTTTGGTTAGTGTATTCTTCTTGAAGAAGCAAGGAAGTTTATAATGCACTAAAAAAAAAAAAAAAAAGTCTAGCCCTAGCATTTGGCTCAATGGGCAGAGCATCGACCTGAGAACTGAAAGGTCCTGGGTTCAGTTCTTGTCAAAGGCACATGCCTGGGTTGCGGACTCTCTCTCCCTCTCCCTTCCTCTCTGAAATCAAAAATATATTTTTAAAAATGTAATATAAATTCAATTAATCTGTTCCAGACCTCAACTGATTCCCTGTTGTAACCTTTCTTTTTTTTAACCTCTCTTATATAGTACACCAGAGGCCTGGTGCATGAAATTCATGAACAGAGGGGTGGGCGGGGGTCCCTCGGCCTGGCCTGCATCCGCTCAGAATCTGGGACCCCTCAGGGGATGTCAGGCCTAAACCAGCAGTCGGACATCCCCCTCGCAATCCAGGAGGCTGCATGCAGCAGTGATCATACTTTTCATACAAGTGAAAGGCATCTTGCTATTGTATGGGCAGCTACATTTTTTTGCCCTAATGATAAAAAGTAGTACATAACATGATCCTTCTGAGGCAGTAGTACCATTTCCCCCTTCTTATGGGTGGAAAAACTGAAGCAGAGAGAAGTTAAGTAATAGGCTTTATCTTACAGTTATAAGTGTGAGAATCAGGGCTGACCACAAAATGTGCATGCCAGGATCCATGCATGTCATTGCTGTTTTTTCAGTGTTAGAGTAGCCTTGCCAGGTTTTGATTTTTAAATCTAACAGACTGTTCCCAATATATAGGGTAGGGTCCCTGGCCGGCGATCAGGGCCATCAGTGGGGTGACTGGTGGGCGGGGTGATTGGGGGGCCCCCTGCTGGCACCGGCTTTGGCTGGTGGCCTGGCGCTGCCCGCTAGCTGGCCCCGAACCCCGATTGCTGCTGCTGCTGCCGGGCACCTCCCTCTTGGGGGACAGACACTCCTACATTGAGTGTCTGCCTCCTGGTGGTCAGTGAGCATCTTAGCAACCGGTCATTCTGCCCTTCAGTCAATTTGCATATTAGGGTTTGATTATATAGGATGTTTAATATACTGTTTAATCCATAAATAAACACTTCTTTTCTTTTAAAAAAAATATATTTTAAGGATTTTTTTTTACAGAGAGGAAGGGAGAGGGATAGAGAGTTAGAAACATTGATGAGAGGGAAACATGGATCAGCTGCCGCCTCCTGCATCCCTACTGGGAATGTGTCTGCAACTAAGGTACATGCCCTTGACCGGAATCGAACCTGGGACCCTTCAGTCCGCAGGCCGACGCTCTATCCACTGAGCCAAACCGGCCAGGGCAACACTTCTTTTCTTAAATTTATTAAACTAGCCCTTACTAGCCTTAAAGGAATTTTTCATATATCACTGCCTCAAAAACGCTATCACTGGTTAACTGCTTTTCCTTTATCCAATCAACAGTTTTTCTATCTATTCAACTGCCTGTAATTCTTATTTTGTGAGCATTTCCACACCCTTAGCAACATTAGCACTCTTTATGTTTTTTGTTTTATTTTGCTTTAATATATTTTTATTAATTTCAGGAGGAAGGGAGAGGGAGTGATAGAAACATCAACAATAAGAGAGAATCATTGATTGGCTGCCTCCTGCACAACCCCCACTGGGGATTGAGTCCACAACTTGGGCATGTGCCCTTGACTGGAATCAAACCTGGGATCCTTCAGTCCACAGGCTGGCACTCTATCCACTGAGCCAAACCAGCTAGGGCACTCTTTATGTTTTAAAATTGTGCTAATCATAGATTTTGCCAGCAACAAAAACATTCTTTCCTTTGTTTGTTGCCTGAGAGACATTTTTTTGGTATCAGCATGAAAGGGTTGTCAGGTTGAAAACTGAAGTTTTGGTTGACAACAGACATTTTTTCTTCAACAACTTGGTTGAACTGAATTGTTTAA